CCTCGAAGAGCACTCGACCGAACCAACACGTTTCCATCTTGCTTCTCCAACTCCATCAACTACTCGACCCTATTCCGCATCTCAGCCTCGTCACCCTCACGCAACTTTGCCGACGCGCCAAACGCACCGCAGACCCCGCGGCTCCAAAGCTTATCGAGCTCAAAGCTTGGGCTTTCCGAGTGCAGCCGAAGCGGTTCCCACGCTTAATCAAGCTGAGCAAAAGTTGGGCCTCTTTCCCGCGCTTCATTTTGTCCTTTGCCTCCAAGCTTCAACGAGCGACTTGGCAGTCGCAAACTCGGACATCGGCTCGTCCGTATCGGTGTGCCCCCGAAAGACGATATCCCACCTCGCTTCGGCTTGGCCGATAATCGTCACCTTTGCTCACACCGCCACTCTGCTACGACAGCTCTCGAATCGACACTGCATGCTTGCCATGCCTACGGCGTGACCATTGCCAGCCTGGTGTTTTCCAGAGAAAGCCGCGTGATCGATCGGAAGCCCACCGCGTTTGGGGCCACAGACGACTTCCCCAACAATGCCGCCCGCCTCTTCCATCGGCAGCAGCAGGCGCAAGCTCGGCCAGCCCACCGTCTGCCTCGAATGCTACCTCCGCAAGGTCAAGTGCGATCGAAAGCGACCATGCTCCACCTGCGTGCGCAGGGGCACCGAGCACCTCTGCAAGACCTTCAACACCAGCGAGCTCGATCCTGAAAGTAAGTCCCCCGGTCCCAACACGAACACGCACCACCCACAATGACATGCTGACAAGCTTCCAATCCGCCCCTCGTAGCCTTGCAAAAGAAACAGGCCAGGCGCTCGATGGCCGAGATCAACGCCATGCTCGATGCAACCACCGACGATGCCAGCGAAGACACCGATCCGCAGCAGCCGCCAGAGCCCAGCGAGACATCCGAACATCCCATGATGGCCTTCATCAACCTCATGCTCAAGGACCTCAACACCAACGACGACGCATCCATCAGCAACCACGCTTCACCCGACTCGGCCTCGCCCAGATCGAGCTCGCTGCTCCCCTCCAGAGCCGTGGTCTCGCAGTACCAGCAGAAGCCATGCTCGATCAAGATGCTCGAGTTCTGCTCCATTCTGCCGGACTGGTACCACCTGCAGGCTCTCCTCCGAAGCTACCTCTGGAACGTCGATTGGAAGTTCCTCATCACCTGCCAGGACTCGCTCGAGACGCAGATGCACGACCTCTGGCTCCGCGTCATTTCTCCCGCCAAGAGCTGCGATCCCTACGCCGAGTCTACGCATTCGACAGCCGCCATCGCGTTCCAGCCGGGAGACCTCTCGCGTCTGGCTTTGCTTGCCAGCGTGCTCGGAGAGACGATCGAGTCGATGGATCCAGACGCCATCGCTCAAAGCATGCCTGCCTCGCGTCCCGGCGTCGCTGTCGCAGCGCCCATCAAGCTCGAGGCCGACGCAAATGCTCGTGTCCGTGCGCTTTTGATTCTGACCTACCACGTGCCCGCGCTCATCGAGGAGTGCGTGCGTCTCGACGAGATGACGATCGACCTGGTGCAGGCCAACCTCTCGGCGTTCTCGCTCTGGTCGAATCAAGGCCTGCATGGCACCGGCTCCACCGAGTTTCCGCGCTGGAACGTCACCATCCGAGCCGCCAAGCGGTGCAATCTGTTCGAGGATCCCGGCAGCAACGCCAGCTACACGCAGCCGCAGCTGGACCATCGCAGGAGGCTCGCATGGCTCGTCTACGGCTACGACCACGCCTTTGCCGTCGGCGCCAACACGCGTCCGCTCATCGTCGAGTCGCAGTTCAGCGTGGACCAGCCGAGCGATGCTGCGCCGTGGTCTGCGTGCGGTGCGCCGCCCGATGCGTGCCTCGCCATGCTCGAGGTGCAGGGCGGCAAGATCGCCGAGCTCGTCTCGAGCACGCTCTGCTACGGGCCGCCGCTGCATCGCAAGGCCATGGAGACCGACAGCAAGATCATGGGCATGATGGCGCAGCTGCATCCGTCGTACATGTGGGACAACCCGGATGTGTCGTTTGACCAGCTCGACCCGTTCCGAGCGCGTCGCAGGTGCTGGTTGCAGCTCACCACCGCCTGGCAGAGGGGCTCGCTGCACCGGCAGTTCTTCTTTCCCAACGGCCGCATCACCAACGGCGAGCTGGCCACCAGCCGCCACATCGCGACCGACAGCGCGCTGCGCTCGATCAATGCGGTGCGCGAACTGCGCAAGATGCAGAACCGCTTTTCGGACCACATGGGCTCCGCCTGGTGGTTCCAGTACCTCACCGAGCCCAGCATGACGCTCGCCACGGCCGCGCTGCTTCTCATCCGCAGCAGAGGACAGGGTGTGCCCGGACTGGCGAATGAGGCGAGTTGCTGGCCGACCATGATGCACTTTTCCAAGATGATCGACCTGTGCGTCGAGGATCTGGCGGCGTCGATGCAGAATTCGGCCGCTTGTCTGCCGTCGTTCCTGACGTTTGGACAGGGCTGTTTGAAGCTGATCGAGCAGCTGAGGGGCGCGATCCAGACGAGCTTTGACGCGTTTGTCAAGTCGCAGCCCGACCTGGCGCGGGTGGAGAATCTCAGGATCGACGAAAAGATCATTGCGCTCCTGCATCCACGGTCGAGGCAGAAGAGTCCGAGCGGCGCAACGCCCGGTGCGACGGCGCACAGTCGCGAACCAAGCACCAGCGGCGTGACCGCGGCCAAGGGCGTTAAGCGCGCGGGCGATGCTTCGGCGAGAGGTGCTTTGTCGTCGCGCAACAGAGTGGGAGGAAGTGGTCAGGAGCAGCGCGCCGAGTCGAGGTCCATCTCTCCACGCTCGTCGCTGGCGGTTCCGGCGTTTGCGGGGGTGGGGGCGTCGAACCTCATGGCTGGGTATGGGAGCGCAGTGGGGCCGCAGCTGTCGTCGCCGGACCACGAGGTGCCTTCGGGCGAGCTGAGTTTGTCGTTTGCGCCGAGCATGTCGGCGATGGCGCCGGCTGCGGTGGCGGCACCGCACTTTGGCGTGCCGGCTCCTGTGCCCGAGGGACAGTTGCTGTCGCCTGCGGAGCCGTTTGCGCTGCGTGAGTTTTATACCGACGACGGCGTACAGCGCGCCACGTCCGACTGGCTCACCTCGATCCACATGAGCGCCATGCTTCCCCAGCCTCCCACATCGTAAGCTCCCCCATTTCAGTGTAGCCAGCCATTCGATAGAGACGGTTGATAATATGTATTTGCATTCGAACGAGCTCAGAAGTGGATCGAGGGAAAGACGAGGCGTGGCACCTTGCGGAGAGCCGGATCGTCTTTTGCTAACGACCAGAGGTATCCGTCTAGATCCACCTCGTTCAACGCCGCGAGCCAAGCGAGGGCGGGATCTTGTTGGGCAAGTGCATGGGCGCGTGCTACAACGTGGGTGGCGACGTTGAGTGTGGCTGCACGCACGGCGTACGTCTCGTCCTTGGTCAACCCGGGTCCTGGTTGATTCGCAGTAAGGTCGTCTAACTTTTCGCGGTTGAGATCGGCATTGCAGTTGGCGGTTGCGATCCAGTGTACGAGGGTCTCCATCCCAGGGCTAGGGGAGTCGGGTGTTGAGATGAGGTCGAGCCATACGCAGAGGGTGGGTAGAACGTTGTCGACGAACATCGGCAGTGTATACGTGTTTGGCAGCCCATACTCGGGCTTGTCGCCGCAGCGAAGGTAGAGCGCGTGCAGCAGGAAGAAGATGCGCTTGAAGATGTAGACCTCCTGCCCTGCTGCACCGGTGTTGGGGCTGAAGGTGTGGGTATCGCAAAACTCGGGGAAGGTCTGTGCGATTTGTGCGACCAGGTAATCCGTCACCTGCACCTCGTCGTGCTTCTGCTTGGCCTCAGCCATCAATCCCTCCAAATAGGCGCCCATACTATCCACACCCAAGTCGGTCAACTTGCGTCCTACATTCTGCATCGCGGTGAGAATAAGCTGCACGGCATCGTTCATCTCTCCCCCCTTGATCCCCACCGTAACCCCGGGGAGGGAGTCGTGCGGTCGTTCCTCGTGCACACTCACGCCGAGCAGCTCGACGATCTTGGCTTCCGTCATAGTTCGCATGCCCTTGGCGGTCAAATTCGCCGATCCTACTTGACGATCCTCGTCGCCGCCCGAGATGTACAGTCCGATCATGAGGCGGACGATGTTCTGATACGCGCCCGCGCCCGTGGCCTTGTGGAAGGCAGTGCGGTAGCCCGAGAGCGCATTGAGCAGCGACAAGATGGCGATAAAGTTGATCTCGGCCGTGGGGGTGGGGAAGCGCAGTGGGAAGGCGAGGCCGTGCTGCGTGCGCAGCCGGTTGTACGTGGCCTGGTCGAGAGTGCGCAGAAAGCGGTCGATCGAGGCGGCGTCGGGTGTGAGGCCGAGCGATGTCGAGATGGAAGCGCAGCTCTGGCGTGTCGCAGCGATGTACGCTGGGTCACGAGGCAGTGGAGAGGACGAAGAATTCGACATTGTGGGCGAGCGTGCGAGTGTGGTTGTTGGTGGTGGTGGTGGCAGGGAGGTGGACGGGGCTCAGCTTTCTTCTGAAAGTGCCAAGTGTGGAGAAGAAGGACGCGCGGTGTTGGACGTGACTCGGGCGTGCGAAAGCTGAGCATGTTAGAGCGAGCCAAGATGGAGGCAGATTTTATTTCGTGCGGTAAGAACTTCTGCTGCAGGGCTTGAAAGGCCGAATTTGGGAGCTCAGCTCGTCACCATCACGCACCGCACCACCAAGTTCTCATCATCGTCGTCGACGCAAACATTGGCTAGGATGGCATTCGGATCGACACTCTCGCGCTGCTCGCGCAAGCACATCAGCGCGTACGGCAGCGTGCTTGACCGATTCATGGTCTCCAACTCGTCCACCCTCGCCTCTTCCTCCTCCTCCTCGTCCTCCTCGGCTGCCTCGACGTCATCTTCTCCGTCCGCATCGTTGTTCGAGGCGACCAAGTCCGATGCTTCGGGATGCTGGGCGCCTCCCAAGTACTCGCTGCGTCGCCAGGCGAAGCTCGTCAAGGAGGCCGCACTGACCGGCCAGCTCGCAGCGTTGCCGGATGGCCCCAAGACCTCGCGCATCCAGACGAGGCTCACACGGCTCGCGCAGTCGCACGCTGCCGAACAGCAGGCTGCAGAGTACCAGTACACGCCTCAGCACACCGCAACCCCCGTGCGCCCCACCGCACTCGGCCAGCGCTCCGTCAAGCCCAACCAGCGCGTACCCCAGACCGAACACGACGCGGCACTCGCAGCGGCTAGGAGGCTCGTCAAGGACGTCGGGCCGTACGCGGGTAGGGCAAAGGCGTTCAAGGGCAGCAGGGTGGACAAGAACAAGATCACCCGTGCACAGGCGGTGAACAACAAGCTCGAGGCCATGCAGAGCACCGTCCGAGAGTGGCACACTGTAAGTACGATATCGTGACGGGGCAAGACTGGACGACAGATGGCTGATATCGTTGCGTTGATGTGCGAATACAGTCCCAGACCGAGGCCAAGAACAAGCTCAAGCCCGGGCTTCCTTTCTAGACTGTCCCTACTTCTTGCGAAACGCCGTTGTTTTCCGACTCCATCTGCTCGCAGGGCTTGCCAAGGGGCTGTATGTCGAAGGGGGCACCGCAGCTAGCACGGTGGCTCGAGATGGATCGTGTGAGATCGGATGGGGTCAACAAGCATCGGCGTGGCCGGTGGGGAAATTTTCGTGATCGGCTGCGTTCGGAGGCGGGTGAGTTTTTTGAGAAGAACCGGTAAGAAGGCCAAAGCGGAACGGGGCGAGGCCGTAGCAAAAAAGGGAAAAATCTCGCAATTTTGGAAGAAAGCGCCAGGCTGAGGCGCCTAATTTCAAAGAAAGCGCAACGGCGACTGAGCCGGGTGTCACCGCTCGCCTCCACACTCTCAGAGTCGAGACTGGGAAGTGGAAGAGCGGCTGTGATTGGCGGCGTCCGAAGAGTGAGAGAGAGCGAGAGAGACCCTTTCTTCCTCCCAACCGCCACCACACCAAGCTTACAATTGCGGTGTATACCCCATCACACATCCCCAATACACACACACACACACACGCGATGGTTCGTGCAGCTAGGTCGCTCGCAGCCGATACGGCCGCAGTGCGCGTGTGGCTGTCGTCACGCTCCACCAGTGCAGTCATTGCGCCTCGTCGTGCGGTCTCTGCCTCGCTGCCTTCTTCGCGCGCGTTCCCCATCGCCACCGCTTCTCTCGGGCGCAGCTTCCACACGTCGCGCACTGCGTACGATGCGCCCAAGTCGCCGTTCGCCGTGTTCGTCGACACGCTCAAGGCGGAGCTGCGCAAGAACCAAGAACTGCAAGAAAACATGCGCCAGCTCTCGGGCGACGTGGGCAAGATGCAGGACAGCGAGACGATGAAGAAGATGCGCGACGCCTACGAGCGCGCGCGCATCATCACGTCCATCAAGGAGAACCCGCGGCTCCAAGCGGCTGCCGACGCGCTGCGCAAGTCCGGTGGCCAGGTGGGCGATGCGGTGGGTGCCACGCTCAAGCAGATGGAGGAGAGCGAGCTGGTCAAAGGCCTCGGTGCGATCTCGAGCCGCCTGGCGCGTCAGCTCGAAGACTCTACCGCCCCCATCCGCAATACTGAGGCGTACAAGCAGCTCAGCGATACGCTTACCGAGGCGTTTGACGACGGCGGAAGCGCGCTCCGCATCTATGTGGACAAGGACAAGGACGCCGCCGAGGTGCGCAGGATCAAGCGCGAGGCCCGACTGCGCAAGATCGGAAGACCGATGCCCTCCAAGGATGTCGACTCCAAGGAGGCGGCGGACGAGGTGCTCAAGAGCTACGCCGCCAAGGAGGAGGCTGATATTGCAGCAGCTGAGGCGGAGGCGGCCGCAGAGGCCGAGGCCGAAGCTAAGCCGCAGCAGCAACAAGAGCAGCCCAAGCAGGAGGATGCGAAGCCCGAGCCATCCAGCGGTGCGTCCGAATCGGCGTCCACATCGGCGCCTGCTGCCGATCCAGCCTCCGGACGCAGCAAGCCTGCCAAGAAGCCGGCGGGCTATGCGGTGCGCGTGCGTGCGGTGACCGAGAATGCGTCGGCAGGCCAGGCGCTGGTGCTGCGACCCGAGCCGGCGTACAAGCAGGCGTGGGCGTCGTTCAAATCGTCCAACCCGCTCTTCCGCCGGCTCGGCGAGATGCAAGAGGCGTACCACGAGTCGGAGAACCCCGTGATTGAGCGTTTCCGCGGCGTGACCGATTGGTTCGGCTCGCTGTTCGACGAGAACGACTTTGCGCGCGTCACGAGGCACATGAAGATGCACGATCCGTCGTTCACGCTGGAGAACTTCCAGCGCGAGTTGAGGGAGTACGTTGTGCCCGAGCTGATCGACGCCTACCACGGGGCGGCGAGGCATCTGTTGCGACAGTGGTGTGGCGAGGCGACGTACAACCTGTTGATGGCTACGGTGGATCCGTACCTGCAGAAGGGGTGGATTCCCGAGGGAAGGTTGTTGGATTTGAAGCAGGTGGAGATCATCCAGGCCAAGGTGTTGGATAACAACGTGCCGGTGCTGGTGGTCAGCTTTACCACGCAGGAGCTGATGTTCTTTACGGATCCGAAGAGCGGAGAGGTCAAGGCGGGGAATGATAAGCAGCCGGACCTGTGCAGGTATGCGCTTGTGCTGACGAGGGAAGAGGAGGGGCTGGATAACGAGGTGACCGGTGGATGGAAGGTGGTCGAGTTGGCTAGGAGGGGTCAGTCGGCGTATCTGTAGTGGTTTGCAATGATCAACACCGCTTATGGCTCGCAAGTTGGGATGTGTGTGTGTGTTGTGGCTACGATTGAGCAAGACGGTTAGGCGTGGCTCTGGGCGTGGGGTTGCGTTGACTGCCTGGTCGCACAGTGTTGGCCGAGGAGTGCAGACGACCATCCGTCTGGTGTGCTCGTCCGATGCGTGTCCGTCCATACTCGATCGTGCGTCACGCTTTGATGGCTGTCTTGTTTTCTTCACTCGCGCATCTTGTGGACGAGAGCGATTCGAATTCAACCTGCCCATTTGGCCGGCTTGCAACGGCCACGGTCAGAGTCATGCTGTAGAGCGTCCACCGCTTCGACAAATGACAAGCGAGACGGCTTGTTGGTGGCGCGCGGAAAGGGGGAGCGTGCGGCGTGGAGATCACCCGTGTGGTTAGAACGCACATCTTGACTTGGCACTCACGAGAGGCATGGCCACCGCCCCGGGGCCGGGGGGGGGGGGGGGGGGTATGTTGTTGCGTCGCCGCAAACTTGAGCCCCCAAATCAAGAGGTATAGTCCGAACCTCGCCGGTCTCGACTCGATGTGCATTGTGGAGATGACGGTGTTGGCTATCCGAGCCCTCTGCGCAGCTTCAAGCTTGCTTCAGTTTCAGCTTCGCACGGTAGAATTGCTGCACGCAATAAGACATGCGACGTTCTCGCTCCAAGTTGTGCCTACAGCGGGGGTCGGGAGGAAAATCGTCGGCTGCAAGCGAAGCGGGCACAGACGGATGGGGAGGAGGGGGGCCGGAGAGCTTCGACGAGCTGCTGACTCGGCTGTGTCAGGGCGATGGGAGGATGGCGCGCTAGTCTGCCGCTGGATAGGTGAGCTCATGGTTATGCGGCAAAGCTACAAGGGGAAACGTGTTGCTTGTCGGCTGGGCTGAACGGAAGAAGTTGAGCACCGCAACGCGCGGCAAAACCTACACGCTTGTCGTTGAGGTACAAGGTTGGTGTCGCATACTGGTCTTGGTGAAGGCACGCCAATTGATGCTGATGCATTTGGCAAGTGAGTTAGCTGATCGACCCAAGAGTGGGTTATGCTAACAGCCGGCGGCGAAAATCAGCTTGGTTTCTCCAGGAGTATGCGTGGTAATGTCGATGGCGACAATGCAGGCGATGTGAATCGTGCCGGTGTCGGTGATGATGGTGGTGCCAGCTGAGACTGAAGAACTTGCCCTGCACCATCAAGATCCCCCCGGCGGCCCTCGGTAGAAATCAGCCACGACCTTGCCTTTGTCAACAACGCGATCACTGTACACAACCTCACCCGAAACCTAAGTCTGCAAAACACCACTCAAGAATCGAGATGAAAGCAGGTGGCAGGTTTCGACTCCCTCAGCCTCCCCTGCGCTGGATCCACGATGATACCGCAACCCCATGCACTCCAGATCCAAAATAAGCCCTCGCGAAGTATCTGCACACTCGGCAGCGATGCGATTGTACAATGCTGCCATTGCGCGGGTTCACGCCTACACACTCCGATCGCAATGCTGCCGTTGCCGACGTTGACGCCTTGGCAACCCGCAGCGGCGTATGTTGCACGCACACCAAGCCCACACACTCCCCGACAGCGTACTGCAATCATAGTCGCCATTGCGTGTCCTGATGCCTACCCACTTGCCTCGCCGCAAACAAAATGCACATTGCAATCCCACTCGGCGGCCATTGCTGTCGTGGCGCCTAGACACACCGATCGCACAGTGCAAAGAATGCTGACATTGCGGGGTTCTCTACGCCTTGGGCACGCGCAGCGGCGTATTGTGCGTCGTCGCCAGCGCGGAGCCAGCCGCGGTGCTTCGCCTCGGACTCGCGACGTATGCCGGGGCGGTGGCGGTGGTGGCGACGCGCGTGCCCACCGTCTTGCTGCGCGGCGTCGCCGTCGTACCCGCCGCCAGCCGCGTCGTCGATGCACTCGTGGTCTTGCGTGGCAGCCCACCCTGTCCCCCCGCCACCACCGCCGATCGATTCGTGGAGGCGGCATCGCTGACACCGCCTCCCGCCGTTTCGGCTCGTCGGCGCGCCTGCTGGATCCACGCATGGCGCATGGCCGCATCCGGCTTGAGCCTGCGCTCCGGATCCCAAATCAGACACTTTGCGATAAAGTCGACAAACAGCTCGTCGTCGCTCTTGAGCGCCTGCGCGAGCGTCTTGCTCGCCGGCCTCCTCCGCTTGCCCTTGGAATTCACCACGGGCCTCGGCTGCCCCGTGCTGTCAAAGAACAGCTTCTTGCGCGAACTGCGCTCCACCAAATACCGCTCGGGCACACCGAGGATCTCCATGATGCACGCCAGCTGCTCCTGCTCGTTCTCGCCCGGAAACAGCGGATAGCCCGTATAGAGCTCGGCGATGATGCATCCCAAACTCCAAATGTCGATCGCAGTGTGGTAGCTCATGCCCAGGATCACCTCGGGCGAACGGTAGAAGCGGCTCTGGATGTACGTGTACACCTTTTCGTTCTCGAAACAGCTCGAGCCAAAGTCGATCACCTTGATGCCGCTGCGGCGCGGATGGCACAGCAGGATGTTCTCCGGCTTGAGATCGCAGTGCACGATGCGGTGGTGCTTCATGAGCGACAGCGACTGCAGCACCTGCGACGTAAAGCGCCGGATCAGATTGGTCGTGAAGCCGGCAAACTGGTTCGCCTTGATGAGCTCGTACAGGTTGATGCTCAGCAGCTCCGTGGCGATGCACAGGTGGTTGCGGAACAAGAACGACTCGGTCATCTTGATCACGTTGTAGCGCTCGTCCGGATCCCACTTGGTGAGGTTCTCCAGGATGCGCACCTCCACCAGCGCCTGGTGGTGGAAGCGCTTCTTGTTGCGGATGAGCTTGATCGCCACCGTCTTGCCCGTCTTGTGGTCGAGGCACTGCAGCACCTGTCCGAACGAGCCGCGCCCGAGCAGGTCCACAATCTCGTAGCGGAACGCAAGGTGGTCGCGGCTCACCACGTTGTAGTCGCCGCGCTCGTCGTCAAAGCCGTGGTTCTGGTCGGGCTTGTCCACGCTCGCCATGTGTTTGCGCTTGGCGTTCTGGCCGCAGTAGTAGATCTCGGTGTAGTTGAAGATCTCCTGCGCCTCAAAGTCGGACATCTTGTTGCCGTACATCACCTCTGCCTGCCGCGCCGACAGCATCCGGCTCGGCGCCACCGGCTCGGGGAACTCGAGCATCTTGTCCAGATCCGCCTGCGGCACGCCTGCCGCCAGCTTGCGCGCCTGCTGACGCCGGATGTAGTCTTCCATCTCGCGATCGCCCAGCCGCTCCTCTTCGTCCTGGCTCGGCGTCGCGCGCATCGAGCTCACCGACGCCGCCGTGTCGGACGACGCGGGACTGCGTCGCGCCAGCGCCGTGCTGACGTTGCTCTTGGCCAGCCGCTCGCTCGCGGATGCCTGCACGGTGCTCGTCTTGGAGATGCGCGTGGTCGATGCCGCCGTGCTCAGCGACGCGCGCGTCCTGCGCACCGGCACAGACACGCTTCCCACCTCCTTGCTCGCCGCAGCACCGCCAGCCGCTTCCGCTGCCTCGGTCGAGACAGAGGAGCGCGCAGCTGCAACGGAAGGCTGGCTCTGTGCAGCCAAATCATTCTTTGCGTCGCCCGGCGCAGAGCCGCTGCCAGCATGACCAGAGGTGCTCGACTTGGCGGGACGTATGGAGGCCTTGTCCGCACCACCGGCTGCCGATGTCTCCGCTTTGCCGTTGCTGGCAGCAGCAGGTGCTGGACTGGCAGACGCTTTAGACTCGGCTTTCCGGCGGTCATGGCGGGCCGCGAGGCCGTTGAGCACCTCGCGGTCACTCGGCGTGAGGTTGGACGAATAGGCGGCGATGCGCGCACGTCGCAGGACGCCCTCGAGCTCTGCTGGCGTCTTGGCCGCCGCATAGGCATTGAGGATGGGCACAAGGCTGCTCGACACGTGCGCGACCCCGGGAGACGGCGCGAGCTTCGACGAAGCCTGGCTGTGCTTGGCCGTGCCGACGGTGGTGTCTGAGCCCGAGACGGACCTGGTCTCGTCGTCGTCCAAAGGCTGGGCAGCCACCATGCCCAGGCTGGCCGCCAGCGAAGGATGGTGCGACTTGCTCGTGGGGATGGATGACGACGCGGCTGCAGCCGCCCGGATCACACTTCCGCTGCCGTCGGTGGTCGTCGAGGTGCCGGAGGTCGAAGCACGCGGGATCGCCTTCATCGTAGCAACGCGCGGGATACGGCTGGAGAGCGATGCAGACTTGGACGGAGAAGCTGTGCGGCTACCCACACTCGGGCTGGAAGCCGCAACGGCAGGAGTGCCGATCGTCCTTGCCGAGCGCGAGGGGGTGTGCGAGATGGTGGCGGCATGCAGCCTGGGCTGGTGCTCGGAAGGCTTTGCTGCGCTTCGAGGCTCGATCGCAACACTTTTCTCTGCGTCACCGGCGGTGCTCGCCGAGGCTCCGCGCCTGCGCGCCGGCGAGACTTGCTCGCCAGCGGACGAGCGCGTTTCGGTCGGCTCCGACTGCAAAGACGCCTTGTCGGCAGCAGCAGCGCTAGGCTGAGCGATGCGTCGAGAGCCCGAGCGACTCAACAGACCGCCGGCGATGCCCAGGATGGACTTGCGCGACAGGCGTCCGCTGTCTTGGCTGGCCGAGTCGGCCGACTGCGGAGGATCGCTCGACTTGGGCGTGCGCTGGAAGAACGACGGCGTGCGTCTCGTCTTTGGGCTGGTGCCAGACGACTCTGTAGAGGCGGTGAGCGTCTGGGAGTCGGCGCTGGAGAGCGGCTGCTCGACGTCCTTGTCCTTCTGTCGGATGAGTCGACCGAGTGAAGCAACGCTAGCTCGGCGCAGCGAGCCCGACTTGGACGGCAGACTCGAGGCGGGAGCGAGCGACGCCGAGGCGGCGAGGCCATCGGAGGCGGTATCGTCCGAGCGCACCTCGGCCACCGGCGAGGCGATCATCTCCTCGACCGGCTCGACGATGGTGCACTGCATCGACACGTCCTGGGCCGACGAGCCGCGCGAAGCGGCGTCGCTGAGCCTGCCCAGGCTCGGCTGGCGAACGGCGAGGGCGGCCACCTCGGCGAGCTCCTGGATGCGCGGACTGAGCGGCGATTTGGGCGTGAGGACCTTTTCGCTGTGATCGCCGCCGCTGGTGGTGGACACGAAGCTGTGGCTGGCCGTGATGCTGGGACTCTTTGCCGAGCCGGCGCGGAACATGTCCGAGGCGAGCGAGGTGGAGCGCGAGCCTTCCCAGACCTTGGGCAGCGGTGGCACGGGTGGGATGGCAGCATGCCTGGATGTGTCGGCCTCGTCGTGGGCACCGGCAGCGACATCATGTCGGCCGCTATCCGAGGCGAGTCCCGAGGCATCGCTGTTGCCACTCATGCGCTTGGAGCGAGAGACGGTGCGCACGATAGCAGGGTTCCCAACCAGCGGGCTGCCGGAAGCGGACAGGTCTTTGGAGGTGCTGGTGCTGTGGACGGCCGAGGTTCGACGGGAGCCGCCGGTGATGTCGTTCTGCGGTAGCGGTGGGAGCTGAGACCGACGCAGACGTGGGCTGGAATAGATCGACGAGCGAGCCGAGTCGTTGAGAGGGCTCGGGTTGACTGCGCTGGCGCCGTTGCCAGCTGCGTCGTCGGCGGTGCGCACGCGAGTGCCCAACTTGGAGGCGCGCAGGCTGTTTCTGGCGGACGTGTCGTCCGACACCCTGCTCCTGTCGACGGAGCGCGACGATGCGTCGTAGTTGCTGGAGCGTCTGCTTCTGGAAGCGGGAGACGAGGTGCGGCTGCTTCGACCGGCGCTGTTGGGCCGCGACAGGACACGGCTGGTGCGAGGACTCTTTGCATCGGACTTGCCGTCGCGGCTGGCGCGAGGAGTGGAGCCGAGACCGTCGAGCTTGCGCAACGCATCGGCGGCAGCGTCCTCACGCGAGTGGAGGCGGCTTTCGAATTCGTCTGCATGGCCGAAGGGGATGGAGCCTCGGAGGAGCGACTGGCCGATGCTGGCCGAGGAGGCGCGCTTGGCACGCAGCGACGCGCTGTTTCGCGAGAGGCGGGGCGTGCCCGGGCCGGCGGCCGATGCGCTTGTGTTGGCGCTGGAAGCGGCGCTGTTGCTGGCGAGACGCTCCCTGCGCGTTGTGGTGGCGGTGGTGGACGGGGTGGCGGGAGTGCGAGAGGACGCGGAGGGCACGCGAGCACGGTCGAGCGACTCGTCGGGATGACGCAGAGAGTCGGAGCGTTGGCGCGAGGAGGACTTGGCTGCGGCCGAGGAGGCGGCCAATTCGGAAGCGTCGGACGCTGCGCGATCGCGCAGCTGACGGCGGCGGTGGAGCTCGTCGTGATCGTTGAGGAGGTCGGTGATGGCAGCGTTGAGATCGAAGCTCTGGCGCCACTCGTCGTCGCCGATGTCGTTGGCAAAGTTGGCGTCGCCAAAGTTCATGGACTTGGAGGCCGAGGCGGCGTGGATGCCGAGAGCTGCTGCGTCGGAGCCAAAGGGTCCGGTCTCGCCTGCGGCCCAGGAAAGGTCGCCGATGGCCGGGGAGCGCTCTTGGGACGGGATGGCGGCGTCGGCGCGAGAAGCCGAGGCGTTGGAGGGCGTTGCCGAGACGTCTGCCGTGTCGGTGTGGAGGATGCTGTAGTCGGACTCTGTGCGTGCGCTGATGGAGAAGGAGGGGCTGTCTGGAGGCGCTGCGATGGAGGCCGCGACGTTGTCGAGCTGTGCGATAAAGTCGGACTGCTTGTTGTCCGGATATGCGCGTGTGAGGGAGTGGAGCGAGGCGCTGCCGCCGAGCGCCATGTGTCTGCCTGGCACGGATGGGCTGATGGGGAGGGTGGAGAGGAGCTCGTTGGGATCGCGGAGCGCGGTGCGATGCAAGCTGGTGATGGACGAGTAGGAGATGGATCGCGAGTGGCGTGCGGCGTCTGCTCTGCGCGATGTTGGCTGCGAGTCGGTGGAAGATTGGGAGTCCGACTGACGGAGGAGCGTTGAATCGTGGCTGTTGGGCACGGATGTGCTGATGGATTCGGGAGCGGTGCCGTCGTCGGTCATGGCGCTGCTGACGTTGCGACGCTGGATGTGCTTGGAGGCCGAGAGCGGAGTGGCGTTGTTGTTGCTGGACTTCCACTCGGGTAGAGCGGTGGAGGGAAAGTTCCAGCGCGGGGTGGCGAGCTCGCCGATGCCGATCTGGCCTGCGCGGTCGTAGACGCGAGGGGTGCCGCTGGGAGTGCGGCGCTGGTCGCCCAGCTTGTCCGGGGTGTGTAGGGCGATGGCGGCGGCGTGCTTGGAGCTGTTTTGGGAGGCGAGGTCGGGGAGGCCGATGCCTAGGCCGGCTGCGTGATCGGAGCGTGCGGATCGTGATGGCAAGGATGCGCCGCTGACGATCCTGCCGAGCATCTTTGACGGATCGTCGGACGCTTCCGGTGTGGCGATGGCGCTGGAAAAGTTGGAGAATCGTGACGAGAGGCTGGGGGATTCGCGAAGGCCGAGATGGAGGTTGTGAGGTCTGGCGCTGGAAGTCGGGGCAGCGGCAAAGGGAGCGGAGGTGGCCAGCGGAGTGCGCGTATCCGTGTCGGATTCGTCTAGTTCGGCGGTGGTGGGAAGCTCGTTGGTTGCGTCGTCAAAGAGGGCGGAGCCGAAGCTGTTGCCAAAGTGTGGAAGGGAGGGAGAGATGCGCGGTAGTGTGCGGCTGGTGGAGAGGGTGGAATCGGATGGCTTGCGTGGGTTGAGGAGGGCCGAGTGGGAGGTGGAAGGTGGTGGACCCATGGAGCCGCTGGTAGATCGGGAGAGGGATTGGAGGCTGGAGATGGATGTGTTGAGCGAGTCAGATCTGGCGGGGAAGGTGAGGGAGGAGCTGGAAGCCGATGAGGCCAAGGCGTGGGAGCGCGAGTTGGAGTCGCTCGTCTTTCTTTGAGCGAGCAGACTGTCGCCGAGACGAGGGTGCGAGGAGGTGGAGCGGCCGAACGAAGGGATGCGCGAGCCTGTGGCTGGACGCGATGCCGAGGATGCTGCAGCAAGGGCGTGGTTGGGGTCGAAATCGGCGAGCGAGGGTGTGCCAGCTTGGGTGAGCTTGTGTGGGGTCCAGGAGGTGCGTCTGGACGTTGAGGAAGATGCGGAGAGCGGCTGTTGATTTCTGGAGCCGAGAGTGGCATAAGAGCGATCGCGCGTCGATTCCGGCTGGACGAGGTTGGAGGAGCGGGAGGCGGAGGACATTGTGCGTGCGCGTGCGGTGTTGGAAGGTGGTTGTGATGCGAGTGCGCCGGTGGTGGAGTTGAGTCGAGACCGAGTTGGCGGCTGGGCGAGCTGGGCGAGCTGGCCCGAGTTGGAGGCGCCCGATTCGTACATGGAGCTGAGACGTGTGCGGCGCTGCTGCTGCTCGGTGTTGGATCGAAGCTGATCCGACATGGCGGCGGCGGCGGCGGCGGCGGTTAAAGACGTGAGCGAGACATGCGCTGGTGATGCTTGCGAAGAGTGAGAGTGCGAGACGCCTGGGGGTATCAGTGAATGGGTAGCGTGGCGTGCAGGATGGAGAGAAGCAAAGACGAGGAGGAAGGAGGAGGAGGAGGTCGATGGCGCTGCTCTCTGGCTGCTCTTTGGCTGCTCTTCGCGTGTTGAGCCGTGCGTGGGGCTGCTCGCTGAGGGTGGGGACCTCCGAGTGCAGTCGAGAGAGAGAGTGCTGAGCCGCTGCCGCTGACTGTTGATTCCGGGCCAAAAAAAAGGGCGAAAAAGGGCGAAGCGCGTGCGTGTTTGAATTGGCATTTCCGGCGCTTTTCCTCGAAAAGGAGGTGTTGGTCTGAGCTTTTCTCGCTGCTGCTGCTGCTCTCTCACGCTATTTCATGCAGTCGACGTGCATCGATCGCAACATCCGAGCGCCCAACACTCACTGCTGCTGCTGCTGCTGCTCACAAGTCACATTCACCCCCCAAACAATCCATGATGGAGATGCTTTGCCCTCGCATCACATCGGCTCACATCCCCACAATACGCCCCGATGCAGACAGAGATCCCGAATGCAATATACTGAGCGGCTCTTGACGCATCGGCTCGGCATTCGACCCGCGCGTCGCCGGCGTTTTGTTGGCTCGAGCATGCGTCCGTCGGCTTGGAAGAACGTTTTTTTCGAAATTCAGCTCTGTGAGAGATTGTACGTCCTAACATATATCAATACTGCCTTTTCAAGGGCTCGGCGCATCGGGCTCCACTTGTTGCTCTGCTCCCACCATCTTTCCATCCCTGCGCCCGCGACGGAAGGGTTTAGCGCTCGAGCCATGCGGAGCTCGTAAAAATCTCACGCATCCCGCATCTGCCATGTCGTCGCAGACCGAGTGGCCGCAGTCGCTCAAGGACTTTGCCAACCGCGCATTTGCGGCGTGCAACGATGCCAACCGCAAGGCGGTGTCGGACGAGCTGCGTGCGCTCATCTTTGACTCGTTCCAGAACGGGACGATCCACACGACCGACTGGGCGAATGCATCGCTCAAGTCTCTGGCTGGTCCGTCATCGGTGCCGAAAAAGTCGCTCAAGAAGAGGGTGGCACCGCCATCCACGCCAGCTGCACTGGCGGATCCAGACGAGCAGGCACGCAAGGAGAAGCGCGCCAGACGATTCGAACGCGAACAGGCGCAGTTTCAGCACGAGGAGAATGAAGCGAATCTGGAGTCGACCAGCTTGGCTTCGCGATTCGGCTCGTCGCAGAATGGATTCGCCAAGCATGGGGTGGATGTGGATGTGGCCGATCCCAACGTGATTGATTGGGACGAGCATACGGTGGTCGGCACAAGCACCAAGCTCGAAAAGTCGTACCTGCGATTAACGTCGGCGCCGGATCCAAAGACGGTGAGGCCGCTCTCGACGCTCGTGCAGACGCTCGAGCTGCTCAAGAAAAAATGGCGCACCGAGAACAACTACGGCTACATTTGCGACCAGTTCAAGTCGGTGCGGCAGGATCTGACGGTGCAGCGCATCAAGAACGAGTTTACCGTCAAGGTGTACGAGATCCATGCGCGCATTGCGCTCGAAATGGCCGATCTGGGCGAGTACAACCAGTGCCAATCCCAACTTCGCGGTCTCTATGCCCACGGCATCCGGGGTAGCGCCATGGAGTTTTTGGCGTATCGCATTCTGTACCTCCTCCACACCAAGAATCGAAGAGGTAAGCATACCCCCAACCCCCACAACACTTTCGCAAAGATAATGCTGACATAGGGGGGGGGGGGGGATGGTAGATGTGAATGCGGTGATGGCCGAGTTGACAGAGGAGCACAAGGAGGAGGTGGCGGTGAAGCATGCACTGGATGTACGCAAGGCGCTGGTAACGGGCAACTACCATGCGTTTTTCAAGCTGTATGCGGATGCGCCCAACATGAATGCCTATGTGATGGACCACTTTGTGGAGCGCGAACGCATCAATGCGCTCCTCGTCATGTCCAAATGGTAAGCCCCCCCGCCCTTCTTCCTCTTTTTGACAAGTCGTACTGATATAAGGGGGATAGTTATCGACCCGGAGTGGCGCTTTCGTTCATCGCGGACGAACTGGCGTTCCAGGACGTGGTGGAAGCAGACGCCTTTCTCGCCGCCAACAATGCGGCCGTCTACATCGAGCCTACCCCGGCAGAAATCGCTGCCCTCGCACCTGCGGGTAGGAAGAAAAAGGCGAGGCCGGCAGTGCCCTTGGACAAGCGACAGTGGGACGCAAAGGCCGCCATGCAACCGCTGGCCGATGCCATTGTCAAGTTCCGCAAAGTCGACGTAAGTTTACCCCCCCCCCCCCCCCAACCCTGATGAGTAGTGTCTGGGATGAGAGAAAAGCTGACGAGTGGTCTTTGGGTGGTGCAGATCAAGGGCCAGATCTAGCTGCGCATGCAAATGCCATTCCATTGTACACTAGGCCCAGATCAATCGAGAGAGGATGGTGAGGCGCAAGTGTAATAGTGTTAGATTGGGTTTGAGCGGTGATCACGTTGCGGGACGTGCGTGCGTGCGGAGCGGTTGAGGAGAAAAGTGGAGGAAAAGGCCGGCGGATGCTCAGCTTTGCTTCCACCTCCATCTTCTCTGCCTACACTACATCGCCACTACGCACGACAACAACAGGCTCACAAGAGGGCAACGCAACGATCTCTCTTTCCTTCTCGCTGTACATTTGGAGCTAGGTACGACGATGTCGTGGTTCTCTACGCAGTGGAATCGGTTCGCTGCAGGCAACTCTGCCCCTGGCTCTTCGGACGTCATCCGTCGCATCGAAGTGATCTGGGGCCGCGAACGTCTCCAAATCGTGCTTCCCCGCACGAGCGAACCCGTGACGCTGGGTCACTTGCGTCAAGAGATCGCGTCGATCACAGCGCTCCCCTATGAAAAGATCAAGCTCATCCACCGTGGTCTCATCCTGCGCGACGACCGTCTGCCTCTTACCGCCTACGGACTCGTCGAAGGCTCGCGCATCGGCCTCGTCGGAAGCAGGGAAGGTGATCGTCCCGGCGCAAAGACCTCGCAGCTCTCAGTGGGCGAGCAAAAAGCACGCGAGAAGAAGGCCAAGGAACAGGATACCAGCGAGCAAGGCCTCATGAACCGCATCACCGAAGCCCTCGACTCCGCCAAACTACTCTTTCCCGAAGTGGAAGAGGTAGAGGCCAAGGTGGAAAAGGGAGAGGCGGAAGGTGTGGAGGAGACGCATAGGAGGGTGTCGGAACTGTTGTTGAGACAGTTGCTCGCGCTGGATTCGGTGGGTGTGAATAGCGATACGACCAGGCAGGCGAGGAAGGTGGCGGTCAAGCAGGTCCAACACCATCTGGATCGTCTCGATGCTGCGTGGTCCAAGTTCAAGGCCAAGTCGTCGTTGTAGAAGCAATATAGATTCGTTAGATGCGCAGATGCGGAGAGGGCGAGGGCGAGTATGAGGGTGAGGGT